ACGTGGCCCAGTCACCGAAGCACTCACCATTAACGTGGCCCAGTCACCGAAGCACTCACCATTAACGTGGCCCAGTCACCGAAGCACTCACCATTAATGTGGCCCAGTCACCGAAGCACTCACCATTAATGTGGCCCAGAGTCACTGAAGCACTCACCATTAATGTGGCCCAGAGTCACTGAAGCACTCACCATTAGCACAAACCCTCTCACTCTTCTGCTTGTGTGTGTCGAAGCTGCAATCATGTGATTTTCCCCTGAATGATCCTACACTCTGTAAATGAGCATCTCCTGCTGACTCATCCAAAGCCCGCATTACATTTGCTTTATGTAATAGATATTTTTTATCCAAAGTGACATTTATTTTGAGAAGACAGGATGATAGTCTCCAGAACAATTGGGGGTTAATGGCCTTGGTCTAAGACCTAATGGTGAATCACCCTGCAGTGTCTGGGATTTTGAACCAACAACCTTCAGACCACAAGCATGGTGTTATCTTGCTGAGCCACACAGCACGCCACCTACTGGTGGGACATCTAAATAACTCTGAAAAAAACTCTTTGAATCACTGAAAGTTTAGTTCACAAACCCAACCATCTTCTGTAACTGCTCATCCTATTCAGGGTCACCGAGGGGTCCAGAGGCTATGGTGGGTGCAAGGAAGGGAACTACGAAGCCATCACAGGGCACGCTCACACCCCGGTCAATCACACACCACACCTATGAGCAATTTGGTAATTTGATTAACCTCAGCATGTTTTTGGACTTTGGGGGGGGGGGGGGGACACTGCAGGGCCTCAGTTTACAAACCATAGAAAAATAAACACCACAGTACAGATCAGAAATTCATCCTTTGAGTGAGTTTATTGACGGTACAGCATTCCTACATCCTTCACATCACTGGAAAGCAATCCTTTCCAAACAGATCAATACAGAACTGATGATCACACAGAACTGACAATACTGAATTCAAAATTAACTCCAAAACTGACTCGCTGACTAACTTACTACACCATCGGGTTCTCAAACTTGTCTTGGGGGGACGTGTGTCTGACTAGATAATGCTGGGCACCAAGGGGGGCGGGGGGCACAGGAGATCGGAATGCCAGCAGAAGTGCCAGTGTCCCCCCCCACCATGTAGGCAGCAGGACCACTTTCAAAGACCTACAAAGGTCACTTACTGAAGAGCCCTCATAGGAACAGGATATCAAATGGTCTGCTTTATGGCTATCGCCGAGATGGCCAGGCCTCACAGAGATGGCCAGACCTCACAGAGATGGCCAGGCCTCACAGAGATGGCTAGGCCTCACAGAGATGGCCAGGTCTTCGAGATGCTTTTTGAGTCTACTGGTGGAGTGGGGGTGGGGTGGGATGGAGAGGAGATCTGATTTTTGGGTCCTCGATTCCCTACAGCCAGTTTTCGACTCCAGAGGCCAGTGAGAGACCTCCTCTCCATTCAACATCCACTACATCCACACCTCCAACTTGCAGTACTCATCAGCTGATCCCGACCTCTACCCAACATGCACTGCGAGCATAACTTTGAACAGGTATGGTGTCGACCTCATCAAAGGCAGACTTTTACTGAGCAGAGGTTGTGCAACAGATATTACTGAGGTACATGATGTGGTTCATAGTGGAAAGGATTGGGAATGGAATGGAATGAGCGCTGTTACTGGGACTTGCCAAGGCAGGAGAAGCACACTCCAGATTAAAGATTTAATTCCTGGGCTTGTGACTGTGAAAGAGAGTCTGCTGAAGTCAAGGCCTGTGACAAACACCAGTCAGTCAGCTAGAGACGTAATCCATCGCTGCTCAGACCGCCAATGTCTTCCATCAGTCGACATCAATGAGTTTGCAGTTGTCGTTCCATTCAACTCTTAAGAGAAATAAATGAAAAGTCTAAATCAAGTCCCCTCTCTTTTTCTCCGACATCACCGCACCGGCACTCTCGCACACCACTTTTAGCACCGTTAAGTTTGCAATGCTAGATTTCAAGCTGGGGGCTGGGGGGCAAAGAGATGGAGGTGGTCTGTGGGGGCTTCCACTACGGTAAAGTCCAAGCGGGAGCCTAAAGTCTCTCCAGCTGCGATCAAATTCGCCCCGATCTCAGAGCGACCGCGATTTTTTATTTCCACATGAACTTCCCAGGCTCCCTGAAAAACAAAAAAAACTGTAGAGTTGTGAGGTAATGAATGAAAAGGAAATCCGTTCATTTGTCCAGTAAACCTGAGGTACAGAAATACCGTATTTGCAGGATGTGATGAGGAAGGGAAGGGCCACAGTAACATGCTATCCGAAAAACAAAGAACAAAAAACTGTACAGAGCTTTCCTGTCAGATTCCCATGTCTTCTTTTTACCATCTACTTCAGTATTTTGATTTTTTTTTCACGTAAGCCGTAAATATATTATAGTACAAACGTTTATAAAATAGCAGCACACTCAAGTGACACATCACAACTAAGTAATGTTATTTGTGTATAAGAATGAAAACAAAATCATAGCTTTTAGCAGCGCAAAAAAAACAATATAAAAACACATACAAGGACCGGATGACATCACCCCTCAGCTTCCTGCCCTCCTCACTTTGGAATACAGTATCTATCCCAGGGTCGGGCCAGTCGCACCTCACACTGCCACCTGCTGTTCGCCCCTAGAACTACTCAGATATGATCACTGTCTGGGTTAGAAAGTAACAGGCTGTCTTAGATGTGAGCCGTCCACTGAACAGACAGCATTACCTACGCAAGTCCAGCAATGTTATTTTGTACCCCCTTCCCCCCTGTAAGGTGTGACTGCCCGGCCCTGACCTACCCCCCCCTTCAGGCATATGAGTCACCCCTCCCCCTTCCGGTACAAATCCCTACCCCTCCCCATTAAACAACAGAAACAACACAGAATAATAACAAAAAAAACAAGGCGTGCACTTTCTTTGTGATCATGGCAAAGGGGCATCGCAATCGAGCAGAATGCAGCTGGGCCAGAAGGAAGCTTACACACGGTAAGGATCAGATAGGCTTGGGTGGGGGGTGCTCTGCTCTCACTGGTGTTTGGGGCTGGGGGGGGGAGCCCTAACAATAATCACAAGGTTCTATCGAATTAGCAAAAGGTGTAATGCTTCAAACCGTAGCCCCGCCCCCTTCCTGACCCCCCCACCCCGAACATTAAAAGACTATTTCGAGCCAAGAATTCTGCTGGACTGAAAGGCAGCCTCTGCTGCTGGTGTACCCTCTGTGGGCTGGGGGGGTGGGGGCTGTGCAGATCAAATCCCAGGCCAAGAAAACCTTGAGAAGCAGCGTGGGGGGGGGGCGGGCCAGGGGCGAGGCCTTTTAATTTAATGTATGCGGTTTGGACACAGCCTGCTGGATGGGGTTTACCACAGCAGCCAAGGGCACCTGAATCAGGCAGCTTCCAACAAATAACAGCTTACATAAACAGAACATCAACTGTGCAAAAAAAAAAACTAACATTTAGCAAAAAGGTTGCTTTAACCTTAAATGTTCTGTTCGCATTGTGATCTTACGAATGAAGCAGACAATATTCAAGTAAAACAAATGTTTCGTTTGCTCAGAGAAGAACCCAAATTCAAATGGTGAACCTTGTCTGTAGCCTTTTCACACTTTTGTTTCGGTTCATTTGCGCTGGTTTTGCTTGCTTTTTTTAGATTGTATACGAAATGGTCAGACCGTCTTGCCGCGAGCTGCTTTTTGGAATGTTTTGCTTTTTCTTGGATGGAATGTCCTCTTGTCATTGGTGTCAGGAGTGACCTGGAACATCTACACACCTTTGCATTCAGAACTGAGTGGGAAACCAGCCCTATAAAGCAGAAAGCCTACAAAGATCCGCAGAAGAAGGTCCCACTTCCCCTCATTACGACCATTTTGCGTGTCCCTTGGGAAGCATCTTCAAAGTGCTTTGCTTTGGATACGAGTAACGTGTCGATGCTGATGTATAGACCCATGTCTCATGGGACTGTAAAAGAGACACTATGAGACAGATACAGACTATGACTGTGAGGAAGCACTCACAGTACGTGCTGTTCCTCCTCTGGCCTTGTCTTTCAGCCTAACCCTAAGCTTACAGCCTCCACAGGTCTACTCCCAAACGCAGCAGCGTCTGCACTGCCCCCGCTCCTCAGAGGCTCTCTGCCCCCTCACGAAGGCCAGGCGAGGCAGTGTCTGCACTGCCCCCTCATGAAGGCCAGGCGAGGCAGCGTCTGCACTGCCCCCTCACGAAGGCCAGGCGAGGCAGCGTCTGCACTGCCCACTCACGAAGGCCAGGCGAGGCAGCGTCTGCACTGCCCCCGCTCCTCAGAGGCTCTCTGCCCCCTCACGAAGGCCAGGCGAGGCAGTGTCTGCACTGCCCCCTCACGAAGGCCAGGCGAGGCAGCGTCTGCACTGCCCCCTTCACGAAGGCCAGGCGAGGCAGCATCTGCACTGCCCCCTCATGAAGGCCAGGCGAGGCAGCGTCTGCACTGCCCACTCACGAAGGCCAGGCGAGGCAGCGTCTGCACTGCCCACTCACGAAGGCCAGGCGAGGCAGCGTCTGCACTGCCCCCTCACGAAGGCCAGGCGAGGCAGCGTCTGCACTGCCCCTAACGAAGGCCAGGCGAGGCAGCGTCTGCACTGCCCCTTCACGAAGGCCAGGCGAGGCAGTGTCTGCACTGCCCCCTCACGAAGGCCAGGCGAGGCAGCGTCTGCACTGCCCCCTCATGAAGGCCAGGCGAGGCAGCATCTGCACTGCCCACTCACGAAGGCCAGGCGAGGCAGCGTCTGCACTGCCAACTCACGAAGGCCAGGCGAGGCAGCGTCTGCACTGCCCCCTCACGAAGGCCAGGCGAGGCAGGGTCTGCACTGCCCCCTAATGAAGGCCAGGCGAGGCCTGCCCCGTGGGCCAAATGACTCGGATAACGACACAGAATGAACGCGGCTAAGGCATTTCTATCAAACAGCGCTGTCGGGGTTTGCATTGGCAACTTGGCAAGTGGAACAAGAATACCTAAAGATTGTAGCTTCTGGCCCATCCTAATCGACTCCCCCCCACCCCCCCCCATCCATCCCAGACCCCAAATGGTTGCCAACCCAACCGCATCACACCTGGTTGCCTGGCAATAGAAACCAGGTCCAAAAAGTCACTCTGTCACTTCTAGAGTGACAAACGCAGTTGCCCAAAAAATGAAACAACTGACAAAATAATAATAATAATAATAATAATACATTTAACATTGACTACTGTAATGAGATTCTGCATTGCTAAATTCCTCTTAAACATGGCTATGCTGCAAGTCAGAGCCCTCCTGACCTTTTCGGGGGGCCCAAGCACCCCCAGTGCCCCCCCGCCCAGTATCTGTATGCACCAAAATGGTAATAAAATAAAACGTTAAGAAACACACCCCCTGTATGCCGGCCCCGGACCGTTTACCCACAATATTTAAAAGCTCGTAAACTGTTTATATTTTATTAATTATTAAATATAATTTTATGATGCATATACAATCAAAAACAGCGAGCAGACAAACGCAGGCTTCCCTTCTGTAACTCTCAGGCACCATAGAGCTTGTTTTTTTGTTTCATCGTTTTCAAAAATAATTTTTTATCTAAAATAGGTTGTATTTTGGGATATATTGGGAGCGGGTTGCGTCAAACAGAAGAGGAACGTTAGCAAGCACTTTTTGTTGGGGTTCTGTGTGTGTTTTTTTGTCATCTTTTTTGTTTTGGAGGGGGGGTTCGATTGGCCAGTGGGCTGCTCTGTTGCCGCCCCCCCTCCCCCCCGCTCTGCCGGCTCACTGCAGGTTGACGTCCCGGACGTCCGTGGGGGTGCTGGACTGGTCCTGCCCCTCGGGAGCCTTGCCCCGAGGGCCGCTGCCCTCCTGCTGCTGCCGTCGGCCCTCCCTCAGGCTGTTGACCAGCACCTGCTCGATCTGCTCCTGGCATTCCTTCAGGAAGTCCTGTGACATGTGGCACAGGGGTCAAAGGTCATTGCTGGCACCCCACAGTGACAGTGTGCTCCTGCAGATGTGCAGTTGTAGCAGATAGATTGTCAGTACATTTTGCACATTAGTATACATTCCTCACGCAGAAAGAATTACTTTCTAATTTATTTTTATCTTATATTGTGTTTTATCACCTTTGTATTTGCTGTTGTAATGCCTGAATTTCCCTCCACTGATTAATAACGTTCCTGTCTGTCTGTGTGTCTGTCTGTGTTTCTGTCTGTCTGTCTGTGTTTCTGTCTGTCTGTGTCTGTCTGTCTGTGT